TAATCGATTTAGACAATAAAATTCATAATATAAGAAATTCTGATGTTTTCTGAGAATAGTAAATATGAAAATGGATCATATTATCTTTATAATGAGTATCAATTAAAAACAAAAACCATCTCATTTGTTATATTTAATTCATTTTTTTGTCAAATATTTTCTTAACTTTTTTTCTTTATATGATTTAGACTGTGCCACAAGAGTCTGCATTAGATTTACCAGATGGTAATGGACGTTTACATCTAGTCGCATCTGACTGGACTTTAATTTCTAATGTTGTACATGCTTTTGACGCATTTAGTCCTGTGTCTGAAGTTCGACGTGCAATTGAGACTTTGAACGCATCATCATTTAATCAATCACTTGATGTATCTCAATCTCTGCATTTAATGTCATCATTTTATAACTCGTTGCAATCATTCATAAGTTCAATACCTGATTTTAAGATACTTACACCGAGTGAACAATGTTCATTATTTCAACGTAATATGCTTGGGCTTTTATGTATTGGTGGAATGTATTTTATGCGTGAATCAGGTATATTCGATAAACCTGAAAGTGAAATGTTGGTTTTACCTTTATATGGAACAGAAGTTATTAAACATGCAAAAGTAATTTGTCAACAACTTAACTATGATCCAATTGTTTTTAAGCTTATGCTGGTTGCTCTTGCTTTCTCATCAAATTGTTATATGATACAAAATCCAGGAAATACTGATAAAGATAGTTTATTATTGGGTACATTTCGTTTATTAGGAAGTCAAAATGTTTATATTGAACTTATGTGGAAATATTTAATGTATAGATATGATTATCAGTACTCAGTAAATAGATTTTCTAATCTTATCGGACAAGTTCTCGGTGCACTTAAACTTTCATTTAATATGTATGAAAATAATAGAACTCTTCAAAATTTTATTAATGATATTATGGAACAAATTCAAACATCTTTCAGTTCTTCTGATGAAGCCATTACACCATTATGGGGAAAAAAATAATTATTTGTGTTATGATTTATTCGTTTCTTGTTATGTGAAATGTCAGATATTCAAAAAGTGTATTAAGTTATTTGTATATATCAACTGTTCAAAATTGAGAAAAATTTAATAATATGCAAATAAAATACGACTTCACATGATATTAAATAGATATTGGTGTTTTTTATTTAATTTAAAATAGAAAAAATGTCGAAAAGTAACAGTATCAAATAAAAACGAAAATTTTCATATTGATAGAACTACGTATGGGAGACAACAGAGATGAATGAGTATTAGTATGGTTCATTTTTTACTCAGATTTACTTAAACTAGGTTGAAGTATAACCTTTTGAGAATCAATTTGCCATATATGAATTTATAGTATCTATTTGTATTCGTTGTTATAAAAGTTCATGGTGAGATCATAGAGAATACGTCGTTATACTGTCTGATAATTCGATGACGTAAAATAAGAAATCGTTAGTTTTGCCAGTTTTTTCAAGAGGTAACTAGTCTTTCTTTATTCTTGTATTTTCCTAAACCAATGGGAAACATTCGGAATGTTACATTACTACCAAGCAGAAGATAGAAAGAATGAAGTTTAACCAAGAAAACAACATTACATAAACATCGCTGATATCAGTAAACCTTCGTACATTCTTATCTATTGCACGAATGATGACACCATTGAAAACTATCCTTTTATTTAAACTTTGCTCCTATGCGGTGTTAAGGAAAAAAATCAGAATAATAGTGCGGTAGGTTCGTGCAAATGAGTATATGAATTCAAGCTTAAAGCATTTGAAACTGAACAAACTTTAGACATCCATTATTTTGAATAAAAACAAACACAATACCAGACACTCTTTTTCAGAATTAAACATGGAGAACTTGACAAGAAACAGACACAACTATTATTAAAATTGTGCCCACGTTTTTATATGTCATATAGTTCTAAATACTACTTTGTTACTTTTTTATTACTATTGACATTTCTACCCCATTCAATCAACAAAATTCACTAAAAACTTCTAACTACTGTTCGATTTTCTTGTCATATATTGTAAGTAACGAAAAAGTTTGATTCTTACATAATAATACCACACTTGTCAATAATGAAATCAAAGTCATTAACATTCAACATTATATTTTATTGTATTAATAATATTTTTTATAAAACAACAGTGAAGGAAATATGATGCTTTGTTTTTATTTTGATTACAAAAATATCTTGGACTAGTCAACTGTCTGTTCTTTCTCTGTCATACCTAATGTTAGTTGTTTTTATTGAAAGAAAAAAAACAGAGTAGCATCGACGTTCTTGCATATCTCCAATCATATGCTTTTTAGAAAGAAGAAAAACGTATGGGATGATAATAGATAAGTGAAGAAAAGTAACGAAAGCGCATGTTTTTATTTCTTATTCTATAATTCATGAAACATCATATTTGACATGACAGCAATGTCAATGAAGGGAGTACTTTTTCATTCTTGATTCGCCGCTAGTATTTTTACAACATATATTTGTAAGTGTTGTGCATTTTACATTGTTTATTTTCATCGATGATTGTCATATTTTTAAGAATCATAGAAGAATAAATCAGTAAGTTTTCGATAATTTTAAAGCGAAGAATATCATTTCTAACATAGACTAAATATACTAAAAGCTATATGATATTTATACGTTCTCGCTGATGAAAAAATGAAATAAGTTGTCTTTTTTTTCAGAAAAAAGAGTAGTCTTGTAAGATGTATTTTAATCAACCTTTGCCTATTTTAACAATTCAACGTGATCAGTCATCGAATCGTCACACGAAAAATGATATCTGTCGAATATGTGGTGATAAAGCATATGTTATAAACTATGGCGCACTTTCATGTTCATCCTGTAAAACATTTTTTCGTCGACATGGTTTTCATTCTCAAGTTTGATTGATATTATTTCATGTTAACATTAGATTATTGAATTTGTTTAGCATAGTCTTGAATGTAATTTCAACGCAAAATGCTGTATAACACAAGAAACAAGAAAATATTGTGCTGCATGTCGTTTTGCAAAATGTCTTACAGCCGGTATGGATTCAGATTTAATTCGTAAAGAAGATCTATATGCCAAGCATCGTCAACCGCATTCATCACAAAAAAATAAAATATCTAAAAAGATAACTGTATGTATTTATATTGATAAATATGTTCTATTACCTCCACTGAAGAAAGGGTCATATGAAATAAAATGTATTTGCTTATCACCGAAACTTTTCGTGGTCGAAGGATTTGAATCTATGAGCCACTTTATGAAATTCATGCGTTTTTTTAGGAAATTTAGTTCTAAAAAACTTCGTCCACCGAAGAAAGGGTACTGTGAAAAAACTAAAATGAATTTATCTGTGCGTGGATTTCTCGCAGATCGCAAGTTAAAAGTCATCAATAAAGAATAAGAAATCGAACGACGGTAACAACTTTAAGGGGGTTAATCTTTGGTTCAGTCAAATTTTAAGGAGCAAGAAATTCAGCTGAGAGAGAGTTCGAAGGTTTTCTCTATTTTGGAGTGAGTTATTATAGTTTTTGAAGGTTAGACTTTTTTCTAAATCAAAAATCTGTAGTGTTCTAATACGCTTATTTTATTATTTAGTCTATACCTCAACTATTTACATTGGATCTTCTCTTTAATGATCGATCATCTCTTACTTCATTCGACTGGACAATGCTTTCGAATGTTATTAATGCTTTTGATAAATTTAATTCAGTATTTCAAACAAGACAGCTTATTGAAAGCTTTTCATCTTGGCCACAACATTTTTCCTTTGATATATCACAAGTACTTTCTCTTTTCGCTAGTTTCTATAAATCAACAGAATCCTTCATCTCATCGTCAGCTGATTTTCAAATTCTTACACTTACAGAAAAGCATTCTCTCTATCAACGAAATTTACATGGTGTTTTAAATCTATGTGCTACATTCATTTTATCCTTGTCAGGCATGTTTAATATTTCTACAAATGATGATAGTATCCTAGCAAGTATACATGGATATGATATATATCAACAAACAAAACAAATCAGTATGAGATTAGAATATGATACAGCAATAATTAAACTTATGCTCATTGCACTTGCTTTTTCTTCAAATTGTTATATGGTAGATAAACATGAACATATGCACAATGATAGTTTATTATTGGGAACATTTCGTTTGTTTGGTAGTCAAAATATGTATATTGAAATCTTATGGAAATATATGATGTATCGATATGGTTACTCTGAAGCTGCAATTCGTTTACTTATACTTGTCAAAATTATACTTGATTTATTGAAAATGTCTGCTAATATACATCGAACTAATGATTTTTATCACAATTTTGTCGATGAAGCTGTCTTAATAGCTGAAAATATTGTGACAAGAAATGAAAAAGAAGTTGTTAAGTTGTGGGGTAGACCATAATTTCTATAGAAGAAAACCTTATTAATTCGAATAGCACATATTATGTTCAAAGATAAATGTTAAATCTTATAAATGACACATATATTCAAATCAGAGAGGGTAAAACAATGTTATACAATATTTTATCATTTTTCCGGAATAAAAAAAATTCTCCAAGATATTTTAAGTGTGTAATACTGATATATTTTATGCAGTCGTTATTTGATTGCTGAAGCAATCAATATTATACAATAAAAATCGAATGTGACAGCTGAGAAAAGACAACAGAGATATTTCTATAGATTATGTTTTGCATAATTAAACATGCAGAACTGAACAAGAAACAGACACAACTATTATTAGAATTTCACCCACGTTTTTATATTTCATACAGTTCTAAATACTACTTTGTTACTTTTTTATTATTACTATTTATATTTCTGTCCTATTCAGTCAACAAAATTCACTAAAAACTTCTCACTACTATTCGATTTTCTTTAGTATCAATAATTATATTTCCTATTATATATTGTTAGTAACGAAAAAGCTTTATTCTTACATAATAATGCCATACTTGTCAATAATGAAATCAAAGTCCTCAACATTCAACATCATATTTTATTGTATTAATGAAATACTTGACTTGATGTCAACTCTCGTTGTCTGTACTATTTTTTTTATGAAAAATTAGTGAAGGAGATATGATATTTTGTTTTTATTTTGATTACAAAAATATCTTAGAGTAATCAACTGTCTGCTCTTTCACTTTAATACCTAATACTGGTTGTTTTTACTGGAAGAAAAAAAACAGAGTGACATGGACATTCTTGCATGCCTTCACTCGTTTATTTGTAAAATGGTGTGGGTGTAGTTACTATTATCTAATTTTACTAATGAAATTGCAATACAAACTGAACATGTACTAAAATGAAGCGATATGGATAGTTTTTCATTATGGAGTAAAAATTAATATGAAAGCAAATTTATAAAATATTTCTGTTACATAGAATTTTACGTATCATATGATTCAATATATCATAATCGAGTGAGATATCATATTGAACGTTTGTATATACAGTAAAATCTCTGTTAATAGATAGTTCCTATTTGGACGCATATCTCAGTGCACTATCAAGCCGCCTTAAAAGAACACAATACAATCTGAACCCATGATGATCTATATAAAATACAAGAAACAATGGAAATGAATAGTTCATGAGAATTCGATCGATCACATATGTGAAAACAATTTACTTTTGCAATCATCATTGTGCAGTGATAATTGAATACCGCCTGAGCTTGTCAAAGCAATGGAGATAGTCTGACGATATAACACCTTCTAGCGGTCATTTAACAATGACAACTGTATTCTCTTCTTGCTTAGCTAGATAGAAACTTATTCAGATAATATCGAACTGTAAAAGTTCTACAAATTAATTAAGATCAATGAATTATTTTCTCAGACAAAACTTAAGATATAGTAATGAAAATTTCAAGTACATAATCTAATAAATATGTTATCAATATCAAAATGAATGATTTGTTGTTCTATATTTTTTTTATTTAATAAAACATCAAAAAAGAAGAGACATTAAATCTATCGATAAACATAAATTTTATTTTTAATTATATGATATGATGATAAGAAAATTATGAGAAAAGAAGACTAAGAAAAAGTGAATTTAGTTCTTGATGATAGATTTATATACTACATATTCAAGGACAAGTATACAAACAAACATTGGCTATATCTTTTCATATTGATAAACAGATGTTAAGGTTCTCTTTTTCTTACGTATGTCGTCTTTACTATCACTCGACCTAATCATCGATGTGTGTACACATGGCGTTCAAGTGTAAAATAACAATGAGAACAATTAATCATATGTGTGTATTGTACTAGACTAATAAATGACATCATTCAATAAGAATATTTGGCATTTAGTAACGTTTTTATAGTCTTGTCTAATATGGAAACCATACGGTTTAATTAGAATCAATGAGGAAATGTTCTACTATTAACATTCGATTGATGTTCTTTTCTATCGAATAACTCTTATACATATGATAGAAATTGAGAACTATAAGTATACTCATACATATAAGTAATTTTATTATCTGTTAAGTACTACCTGCTTAAACTTACAATGACCATTGACGATGCCGATTGACTAAGCGCATATATATATTCTTGCAATCTGTAATTGAACAGCCCATCCGTTCGTCAATTTATCATATTGTTCTTTTTTTTTCTCGCATTTTGTTCTTATCTATTTCTATTCACTTTCATTTATTTTCAAGAATATGCACTGGTTAATATTAATCTTGTTTATTGTTACAACTCATATTCATACATATAAATCTGAGCCAGTATGGGTTAATATTCAAGAAGAAGATCTTTGTAAGTATAGATGATTTTTAATAAACAAAATAATATAATGTTTTCATTCCTGTTTACATTCTAACAATCCTCTTCAATGATAAAGTTCGTAGGTCATAAATGAAACTATATGAAATTTTAACATGTTTAAAGAATTATTTTCCCTCGTAGACACGAAAAATATATTAAAATCTAATGTTAATTAAGAAGAAAAGTAGACAGATGGAGAGAAAGAAAGATTTAGGATCGTTTGTTCTTTTTAATATATATATCACTCATTCTAATCTTTAGATGTTCACTTTGTCTCTTTTCTCTCTCATAAAATATATATATATATATCTTTTATGTATACACTCGATCTTATTTTTTATCATTAATGCAATGGATATATCATCACCTACTTCATTTATTTTTATGACAGGCAACAAAGGAATGAAATAGTTAACGATCGATTCAATTATACTAAAATTAACTTGAAAGTGTTATCCTTTTTTCCTCGTTTAATATAATACTAGTAAAATACAATCAATCGCTGATCAGTGAAGTTGATTTAAACGTATTGATAGTTCATATTCATAAATAAAACAATGATACGTCCAGAGGCGTAGCGAGCGCGTAAGGTGTTACGCCCCCCCTCCTGCTTTAGAAAATTTTAGTTTTTTTTTGGTCAATAAAATCAAAAATAAGGGCTTTTACGTGTTTTTTAATGTTCGATTTAAGCAAAAACGGTGTTACGCTCCCCTGAATACGTCTTGTTTTTACGTATTATAAAGAATTGAATAGATTATAAGAATCAATTCATTTTAATCAAGTACCTGTTAAACTATACCGTTAATCTACTATTTACTCATGTAGATGTGAATTTTTGAAAGATTAAATCTTTATTCACACCTGGATATTCTATTTTACAGAACATAGGAATTCTGAAGAGTCTGTAAGAAATTTAAGTTTTGAATTGAGATATTAAAGTTTTCATAAAACGATTTTGACATGTAAGTCAGTTGCTTATAAATTATGAGAATCATTTCATGTCAATCATGATTCATGTACAAGAGAAAGCAATCATTTCTGAATGTCAAATAGAATTGCCGACAGGAAGATAAAAGATTAACTCAGTAATGCAGCTTTCTTTTCTATATAACTGCTTTATAAATGAATTCTTTAATCCATTTTTGCCTCTAGGGTTTCTTTTTGAACGGCTTAAGAATAAAATATTGCTAATGAATATTGTTTCTACCTAGGGTTTTCTCAATGATATAGAGATTTTCTTTTTTTTTGTCTTAGAAAACATTCAATTCATTATGCCATATGTATCGCATAATATCAAGAGAGTACACGATTAGTTATGGAAGTCTCTTGAGAGTAGAAAATAGTTCTTTTGTTCCCAACAACTGTCAAATAGATAATAATGTACCATTTTGTCGTTAGAAATAAACGATTCAATTGAACGGCAATTATATAATCATTCTCACATCTTCACGTCGAGACAAATTTTAAATGTCATCAAATCTATTGGCAGATGTTTTCTGATAAAGTATCGTTCATGTGGAAAATCTTCCCAACCAAGTTGATTTTCTTGTTAACTAACATCGGTTAAAATCGCTACCTGCTTTTGATATGAAAGAGAATAATTATTATTGTTCAAGCATTTCTAATATTTAATGACCTTGCTCATTCATGCTTACCATGTTCAAAACTGCCACACCCGATTTAGATTTCTTCTTTTTTTTGTTCGAACATCACTCATCTTTCAATTATCCGACAAACATCCGCACTAGTCGGTCAGTTCATTTTCATTTTATATCATTCAGCTTGAGGCCGATTTCAATAGGATCAGTGAACATGGAATAACAAAGATAATTAGCAGCAGGCGTTCGTTTGGACATGAACGCATTTCTTCTTTTTTTTTATTTGAGACGCATACAAGCGTTCAATGTTTTGGAATAATCAAGTAGGAAAAGAGAAAGAAAGAAAGAAAGAAACAAGAGAGAGAGGAAAAAAAACGAGAGAGAGAAAAATACGTGTTCGTTGAACGGAGAGAACGACTGTCCATTTTACTTGACACCTTGTCCGAGAGACAGAAAAAAAAAGAGAAAATCATTAAAGCAACATCGATCAAATGCTATGCTGTTACTATATATTCTTATACATTTAGCTGGTTCACTCGTGGCTTTTGATACAACAACGGAAAATTATACTGTATCAGTTAGTGGAAAATGTGTTTTAACTTGTTATGTATCTGAAATTCGTTCATTTAAAGTAAGTTAATTTTATTTTTGTTTATGTCTATGAAATCTGATCGATTGATTCAGCAAATTTTTAGTTTGACTATATTTTGTCGAAGGATAAATAAACATTTCCCTTGAAGAAAAAGTTTTTCATATTGAGATTATTATATATTCTTTTAATCTGCTTTGATTTCAAGTGTTGAAAAGAAGAAAATCATGTTTCGAAAACAAACACGACCTGTCAATATATGTATAAGACATGATCAGTCGGTGGAAGAAAGCAATTATTTACATATAAGAGAAAAAGAGTGAGAATTTTTTGTTTGATTTTATTGTTTCGATATGGATAATTTGATATTTGTAACGATTATTTGCATTGGTGCACATACGCGCGCAACATATTGCATTGTGAAAAGACATGATCAAGTTGAAAATTTCCATATGCGAATGGCGACGAACCGGAAGATGATGATTGTGTGTCTGTCTCTCTTGTGAATAGAATAGAATAGAATAGAATGAATGAATGTGTGTGT